GTGCGCCTCTTCTGGTTGTGTGTGTGATGACTCTCCTATAAATGTCCAGTCAAACAAACGGGAGAGCCACTGGCTAAATGACTTCAATACGACAGGGACCCTGGGGGATTCGTGTGGGTGTGAATGATGCATATGCTAATATCACTGAGGCCCCATAAATCTGTGTGGCTGTTTTTTCCTTCGGGGGGTGAAGTAAGGGAGACATGGCGCTCCGTCTCCATCCTTCCATCATTTCACCCTCCAACCCTCACTCCACCCTCCCTCAATAATCCCTCCACAATACCATTTCCCTCTCTTCCTCCACCCTTCCTCCATCATCCCCCCCACTTCCCTCAACGCTCCCTCCCAACATCCTCCCTTCCCCTACCATGTGCCCTCCCTTCTTCCATCCTGTGCCTTCCCCTCTGCTGTCCCCTTCACTCCCTTGGCCTTCCCTCCCTCCGTTCTTTTTTTGGAGTGAATGTGTGTGCCCCACCATCCGTGTGCTCATGTGCCCACGTACAAATGTGTGTATGTATCATGGGTGCGACGGTAAACAGGCAGATGTGTGGCACGGCTACCATCGCACCCAATGTGTGCGATGGTAAACAGGCGGATGTGCGGCGCGGCTACCATCGCACCCAATGGGTGCGACGGTAAAAAGGCGGATGTGTGGCGCGGCTACCCTCGCACCCAATGGGTGCGATGGTAAACAGGCGGATGTGTGGCGCGGCTACCATCGTACCCAATGGGTGCGATGGTAAACAGGCGGATGTGTGGCACGGCTACCATCGTACCCAATGGGTGCGATGGTAAACAGGCGGATGTGTGGCACGGCTACCATCGTACCCAATGGGTGCGATGGTAAACAGGCGGATGTGTGGCGCGGCTACCATTGTACCCAATGGGTGCGATGGTAAACAGGCGGCGATGGTAAACAGGCGGATGTGTGGCACGGCTACCATCGCACCCAATGGGTGCGACGGTAAACAGGCGGATGTGCGGTACGGCTACCATCGTACCCAATGGGTGCGATGGTAAACAGGCGGATGTGTGGCGCGGCTACCATCGTACCCAATGGGTGCGATGGTAAACAGGCGGCGATGGTAAACAGGCGGATGTGTGGCACGGCTACCATCGTACCCAATGGGTGCGATGGTAAACAGGCGGATGTGTGGCGCGGCTACCATCGTACCCAATAGGTGCGATGGTAAACAGGCGGATGTGTGGCGCGGCTACCATCGTACCCAATAGGTGCGATGGTAAACAGGCGGATGTGTGGCACGGCTACCATCGTACCCAATGGGTGCGATGGAAACAGGCGGATGTGTGGCACGG